AACCTGGGAGGCAGAGACAGGTGGATCTCTGTGAGTTCAAGGCTAACCTGGTCTACATAGTGAGTTCCAGGCCAGCTGGTGCTACAGGGAGATGCTCTTTCAAAAAAAAAAAGACCAAAAAAATCTACTATGAAATATTTAATAATTGAACAAAAAACCACATTTTTGTTTGTTTGCTTATTTAGACAGGGTCTCACTATGTAGCCCTGGCTGGCATGAAACTCACGATAAAGACCAGGATATAATCAAACTTTATTAAAGTGGTATTTGTTGCTTTACTTGACATGAAATTATCTTCATATTTTTCTTTTGGACATGAAAGAAAAATATGGAGAGAAATAAGATAAATACAGATTGTTAAAAGAAAGCTAACGAAGTACCAAACTATAAATTGATACAATCATAGTCAATCCATACAATCTGGGAAGCCAAAAAGGCAGCAACCAACTCAGTACAGTATTTGCTGGAGCACCTGACCAGGCAGGGGACTCTTCCCATGGACTCTTTTCGGAATAATTAGTGGTAACTTGGGAGGCAAAAGATTAGAGAATGACTGTTTCAGTTACAGTGAAAACCATAAGTAATGGCCTAGAAGGGTGAGAAAACTCAGAAGTTGCTGAGAATAGTTTGATTTGGACAAAACATATTCTACATGTATAGATAAGACTGAGGCAAGAAAATAAAAATAAGATTTATAAGATCTTTCAATGTAATTCCTATTTTAGGTTTTATCCTAAGAAGATGGCAAATCAATAAGGATGAAAACTGATCTCAGAGCAACTTTTACATTAAAATGTATCACACGCACATCGCAAACATTTTTGAAAAAAAAATTACCTGTAGTCCCAAGGCCATATACAATTATAATTATGTAGTTGTATACTTCTTTAACATTTTCCATGCATATTTAAAGTAGTTATAATAATTTATAAGTACATGTTATAGTTAATGAATTTTTAAATAAAATATAGTAAAATTTAAGAAAGTATATACATTTTAATTTTAAGCTATAAAACCTTTGCCAGCATAGTTTTTTGACTTCTACAATTTGTAATAACTTATCTTGCTTCCATATTAAAAATAACTTCATAAGATTGTGTTTACAGGGCTGGAGAGATGGCTCAGCAGTTAAGAACACTGGCTGTTCTTGCAGAAGAGCTGGGTTTGACTCCCAGCACCAATATGGTAACTAAGGACTGTCTGTACCTCCAGTTCCAGGGGATCTGAAGCCCTCTTCTGTCCTCCACTGGCATTCCACAACACGGGTGCACTTACATATATGCAGGCAATACACACATACCCATAAAATTAAAAAAATAAAAGAGATTATGTTTACATTAATATCTATGGACAACAAAAATGGAAAATTGGGTATTTAGGAAATCCAAGGAAGTTGATTGAAAAAAAGTATTTGAATTGTCTTGCTTCAAATCATGTAAAGATGACTAGCTGGATGTTGGGAATCCTAATAATTATTAGTTTTCATATTTTCCAATGTTAACAAATAAAATAGCAAATGATCTTGTTCTTAAAATCAAGAAACTTAAAAATCTAGGAATAATTTTAATGATATGTGAAGGTAAAGTGAAAATTTTGTTAGAAGTATTTTAAAATCTTGTATATGTGTATTCTTAGATCAAATATTATCAAAGCACATTTTCCTCAAATTAGTTCGGTTTTGTCCTGTGGCAACCAAAATTTCAATGGGGTTATTATTTTATTTTAAAATGGCAGATTTTTTTCCAAAAATTTTACTTAGGAATAATCATATAGATGACTGAGGAGAGGGCTCAGTGGGTACAAGTGCTTGCCACATAAGGTAAGGACTTGAATTAAAACCCCAGAACTCATATAAAAACAAATGCACAATGAGAGTATCTGTAATCCTAATGCTTCTATCTGAAGATAGGAATCAGAGCTAATAGAATCCCCAGATGCTGTACACAATGTACAAGCAACAGAGAAACTGTTTCAAACAAGGTGGGTAGCAAAGACAGACACCTGATGTTGTCATATGATATCTGCATGCCTGTATGCACACACACACCCAGAGAGGGAGAGAGAGAGAGAGAGAGAGAGAGAGAGAGAGAGAGAAAGAGGAGAGAGAATAATCATACAGAAAATATATTGACAAAAGTGAGAAGAGTTAAAGTGTAAATGTCCTATTACTAGAGCTAAACTCTGTAAAGACATTATTAGAAATATTGTGTAGCTTCTGTTGTATAGGACCAGAGTAGAAGAAGAAAGATTAGACTACTACTAATATATCCAAGTAATCAATAATGGAGATATAAACTGATGCTAGAAGGCAAGTACTTAGTGTGATATAAGGGAGAGAATTGATAAGGCTTAATTACAGGAAAAGAACAAGTAAAATTCATCAAGGTTCATGGAAATAATGTGTTCAGTTTTGGAACTGAAAGTAGTCAGTTTTATTTGTTGATATGAAGAAGGCTTGATTCTAAAGATTTTGAGTCATCTGCATAGAGATGATATTTGAATCTGGAGTACAGGTAGAATAATAATGTATAAGGTGTGTGTTGGGGGGGTGAGATCAAAACATTTTAAAGTCTAAGAAAATGGAAGTCCATAGTCATGCAGAGAAGAAATAGTAAGAGATGTGGGAGAAAATCCCAGAGGAGTATTTTACACAAATTGAAAGAGGAAAGTTTGAAGAAAAAAAAGAGTTGGTTTCAGTTATAGAATGTCATAGAAATCAAGTAAGAAGAGGTCGCTGATATATTCATTGTACTGGACATTATTACATCATGAAGAACTTTGGCAAAAGCTTATGATAGTTTGGCAATGGAGAAAAGGTCAAGAACCTTCCTAGGGCTGATAAAGGTCTCAGGCCTCTTAGGTTAAGAAAGAAAGTGTTTCTACTTTAGGTCATTTAATAAATGGTTTAACATACAATGGAAGTACAGTGTTCTGTATTTAGGATATGCCACTTTACTTGTATAGTCTGTGCATAATAACAGTACTTATATTATTTTACTTTGAAACACCCTGGCAAGCCCAAGTATTTATTAAGAAAATACAAGGTTTTCTACCTATCCCTTTTTGTATTTTATAAGGCCATTGAAGTTCTGCAGTGATATTTATTTTTCCAGCTGTGAAAGAGATTAGCCTTCATCGCTGCATAGTTCCTGTCTCTCCAGAAACATCTCTTGTGCTCAGAGCCTCTGATATTGGCTTGCTCCTTCTTTAAGTGATTGTGATTCAGAATTAGCCTCTCTTACTGGTGCATTGTGAATCACAATTTTAAAAATATAGTTTATTATTTTAATTTTATGTGTATGAGCATATTGCCTGTATGTATGTGAGTGCACCCGTGTCCTGCAATGCCAGCAGAGGTCAGAAGAGGGTATCAGATCTCCTGGAACTGGAGGGTGGGCAGTTGTTAGCCGTCATGTGAAGACTGGGAATTGAACATAGGTCCTCTGCAAGAGCAGCCAGTGCTCTTAACCACTGAGCCATCTCTCCAGCTTGTGATTCAAAAATTTTTTATTATACTTCTCACCTTCTGTTCAACTAAAAAATGAAATAGATCCGAACTGTCATGGTGCTGCCTGTATCTCTGTGAGGAACCAAGGGCACACACCCAGGCCTGTGCTTTTCATGTGATGCCCTTCATAGCCTATCATCCTTGCACTTACAAATATTTTATTCATACCTGTTTGTACTTTTAAATAAGATTTATCTTCTGTGTGATAAGTGAGGTGTTGAAATAGTTCACGTTCTTATTTTTAACCTCTGATAGTCATTATTCAAGTTCTTTAGATGAGCAGAGTGGTAAATTGTAAGCTTCTTACCTATAGTTTAGGTATAGCTCAGCTCCATCAACCTCATTCATTTGCTTCTGCTTTGAAGTACATTATTTTTTACTCTAGAGTTTATTTTTAAACCAATCAATATTTTAGCTATAGTGCTTTAGGAATACTGTGTTGAAGGTAGTACATATTCAAAGTAATTTTATTACATTTAAGGATGTGTGTGTGTGTGTGTGTGTGTGTGTGTGTGTATGATGGCTGAATATTCTTCTATTTATCTGCCTTATTGGGGTTTTTTAGAAATTCACAGTAAAATTCAAGACCAGAAGAAAACCTAGTGTCTATATTTGAAGATTCTTTTAAGATTTATAACATAAATAGGGTTTCACATCTTGAATACAGAACTATTGCAAAGAAATAACAAATCCTCAGAATTTCTTAAGATAGTAAATAATCCACATTTAAATGAGCAGCTTTATGCAGATCAGGAATGGGCATTTCCTTTCCCCCCACTTTTCAGTTTTTCAGGTTATCAAGTATATATATCCTCAGTTAATTTGATCAGAATGAAAGAAACAAAAGATCAGTTTCCACATCAGTTTACAAACTTAAAAATTTTATAATGATCATAAGGCATCTGAATAATTTATTTTCATCAAATGTTTGGAAATATAGTGAACTTATGTGCTGGATAGCTTTAGTGTCAACTTGACACACCTGGGTTGAGGGAGCGTCAATCGGGAAATTGCCTCTATTGGACTGGCCTGTGGCCATGTCTGAGGGGCATCTTCTTGATGAGTGATGTGGGAGGGCCCAGTCCACTGTGGGTGGTGCCACCCCTGGGCAGGAGGGCCTGTGTTGCATAAGAAGGCAGGCTGAGCAGGGGCCAAGGGAGCAAGTCTGTAAGCAGCATTCCTTCATGGCCTGTGCTCCAGCTCCTGCTTCCAGGTTCCTGCCCTGAGCTCCTACCTTGGGCTCCTGGATGAACTGTGACCCGGGAGATGTAAGACAAATAAACCCTTTCCTCCCCAAGTTGGTACTGGTCAGAGTGTTTTGTCACAGCAATGAAGAACAAACTAAGACAACTTAATATAAATACAACCATTTAAATCATGTTTTGGCTCACATGGATTATCTAAATCATTGCTCTCACGAAGATTCAGAAAAGTTTTAGTAGCCTCAAAAGTTTCCTGTTGTCTCTTTAGTCATTATTTTCCTCTGTTCTAGGTCACAGACGACTACTGACTCTTCTAGAATAATATATAATGCTCAATCTGAATTTTCAGTGTTTTCTTTATTTCATTGAGTGTAATGACTGTGAGGTACACTTGTGTTGCTATGTATATTCAGTGACATTTTATTTGCTTGGTAGTATTTCATTGTATATGTGAAAATAATCCAGCCACCTTTTGGTGAACGTTTGTGTGCTGTTTCTAATTTTTGTCTATTGTAAGACTTCTGTGTATAAGCCTTTGTCAATATATATTATTTCATTGACATTTATGAATAAACTGGCTGAGTTTGTGGTGGATATGTACTGTTTTTCAAAGTATTTATATCATTTTACTTTCTACTAATAAGATATGGGTAAAATTGCTCATGAAAACTTGGTATTCTAGTGATTTTAATATCCATTCTAATAAGCATGAAACAACTCACTGTGGTCTTAATTTGCATTTTCTTGATGATTTATGATGTTGTGCAGTTTTTCATGTACTTTTATGTACAAGTATATGTTTTTTATAATGTGTTCAAATAACTTGCCTTTTAAAATTGGATTTAACATTGTCTCAATGTGTTGTCGAAATACATATATGCATCTTAGGTAGGATGTATGTGTTGTAAACACTTCCTTTTGTCCTGTAGCTTGTTTAGTTTTGGAAAACCAAAAGCTTTAAATTTCTTTTGTTTTATTTTTTCGCTGTTAAGAATCAAACCAGGGTTTCATACATGCCAGGCAGGTATTCTACTCTAAGCTACATCCCCAGTCTCCAAATTTTAAAATTTGAATGAATGTAAATTATTGTTTTTTGTTTTATGTCCTTAGTACTCTGCTTTTTAAAAAAAAATTTCATTGGGGCTGGAGAGATGGCTTAGCAGTTAAGAGCACTGACTGCTCTTGCAGAGGACCCAGGTTTTGATTCGCAGCACCCACATGGCGGCTAGGGACCATCCTTAACTCCAGTTCCAGGGGAATTCAAAGCCCTGTTCTGACCTCCGTGGCACTGATGACATGATTGCACTCACATACACGCAGGCAATACACTCATACACATAAAATAAAAAGCCAGAAATGTTCAACATTAAAAAAATTTATTATTTTTATTTTATGTGTATGAGTGTATTGCCTGCGTGTATGTGAGTGCAATCATGTCATCAGTGCCACGGAGGTCAGAACAGGGCTTTGAATTCCCCTGGAACTGGAGTTATGGACAGTTGTTAGCTGCCATGTGGGTGCTGGGATTCGAACCCAGGTCTTCTGCAAGAACAGCCAGTGTTCTTAATCACTGAGCCATCTCTCCAGCCCCAGTGCTCCACTTTGAAAGCCTTTCTTACTCCAGGTTTTCAATGTCTTTCTCTTATATTTTCTTCCAGCAATGTTCAGCTTTAGTTTTAGTTCCAGGATCCATCCAAGTTCATTTCTGTGAGTGATTTGCGATAAGCATCAAGGTTCACTTTTTTCTACTCAAATATCCAATTTAAAATTGCTAACATTTGGAGACATAATGATATTAGATAAATAAATTTAATTTTTTGAGTTATTTATTTTTATTTTATGTGTATGAGTGTTTTGCCTCCATGTAAGTGTACCCATGGAATGCCCATGGAGAACAGAAGAGTGTATCAGATCCCCTAAAACTGGAGTTACAAATGATTAGTCTCCATGTGGGTGCTAGGAACAGAACCTAGGTCCTCTCCAAGAGTAGCCAGTACTCTTAACCACTGAGCCATCTCTCCAGCCCTTAAAGAAATTCAAATACTCCTCTAAAAAGAACTGTTCAAAGCTAATCAATGAATTCAATAATTATGGGACATAAAATTAACAGAAAAATCAAATATCTAAAAGAGGCATTCAGGAAACAGTATCATTTGTAATAGCTATAAAAATAGTAAAATAGGCTGGGGTGGAGATCAGTGGTAGAGCATGTGCCTAGCATGTACAAGGTTCTGGGTTCAATCTCAAATGGTAAGTAAATAAGTAAGTAAATAAATAAACAGTAACACAATAGGAGTAAATTTACAATACTTAGGAGCACTATTAACCAACTAGCTAAAAATGCATACATTGAAAAGAATAGAATATTGATAAAAAATAGAATGCAGAAATAAATGGAAAGAAATACCATATTCATGGAAGGGATATTAATGTTGTTAAAATGTCTATATTCTACAAATAGTCCACAGGTACAATGCCTATCAAAATTTCCACGACATTTTTGACATAAATAGAAAAACAATCTTAAAATTCTAATATAATCACAAGGCCCCAAATACCCAAACAGTTTTGAGCAAAAAGAACAAAGTTGGAAGCCAGTCATGGTTTGCTCATGGCTGTAATTCCAGCTCTCGAGATCTGAGGCAGAAGAATTGATGTGAGTTTGAAGCCAGCCTTGGATAAATATAAACAGTGAACAAATGAGTAAATAAGGGCAGACAAATAAAAATGAACAAATCTGAAGACACTGCATTATTGGACTGCAGAATGACACGTACATATGAAAATGCCATAATAACGGGGCTGGAGAGATGACTCAACAGTTAAGAGCACTGATTGCTCTTGCAGAGGACCAGGGTTCAATTCCCAGCACCCACATGGCGGATAACAACAGTCTGTAACTCCAGTTTCAGGGGAAGCTGACATGCTCTTCTGACCTCCACAGGCACATCTCAGCATGGGTACACTTATATCCATGCAAACAATATACTCAGGCACATAAAATAAACAAATAATAAATAACTCTGCTTCCCTGGGCCTGCAGACCTGCAGCCCTCTCTCCAACCTGCAGGCCTCTCTCTCCAGGGTAAGTCGATCGAGCCTGTGGTGCCTTGACTCCCCCAGCCTCATTCACCCAACCATCTCCCCCGCCCATCTCTCCTCCGAGCCTGGGTCCTGTCCCATTCCTTGGCGCCTCAGACACCAGGGAAACCACCACTGCTTCCTGATCCTTTGCATCCAGATCAACTCAGTTCCTTCTTGGGTCCCCATGAGCACTGTTTCTGGGCCTGGCCCCACCCTCACCTCCCTCTGCTTCTTGGGATCTGCACGACCCACAGGCCTCTCTCTGACCTACAGGCCTCTCTCCTGGGTGCCTTGACTCCCCCAGTCTCATTCACACTCCCATCCACACACTGTTCTCTCCTCCTAGCCTGGGTCTTGTCCCATTCCTTCTCTTGGGGCTCCAGACACCTGGGGAACCACCACTGCTTCCTGAACCTTTGCATCCAGACCAACTCAGTTTCTTCTCAGGTCCCCAGGAGCACTCTGGGCCTGGCCACGCCCTCACCTCTCTCTACTTTACTGGGCCTGCAAGACCCCCCAGTCTCTTTTCTGGATGCCTGGGCTGACCTTTCCTCTTCATGATCCTTTGTATTTAGACCAACCCAGCCCCTCAGTGCAGTCCCCAAGAGCCCTTGGGGCTGCTTCCCACCCCCATCTTCCTTTGCATCTCTGGGTGGCACAGCCACCAGCTGCCCTAGACCAGCATCTTTCCTGGGCCCAGCTCCCAGGCCAGTCCAACCCCCAAATTCTTGAGACCAAATCCAAGAGATCCAGACTTTAGGAGAAAGCCTGAGAGCATCTGATCCTCATCTGACTTGGGTCACTGTGGGAACTCCTGAAGACAAAAGCAACCTGACCACTCCAATGTAAAATAAAAGGAGAGAATCCGAAACTTAGAGGAACCAGCTTTTCATGCCCAAAAAGTAAACCACAAAGACACATAAAGTTCAAAAAAGAAGCACACCTAAACTTGAAGGCTTGAGTCTCACACAAGAATCAAAAACTACAAAAGAAATTCACATGTCAAAATCACAGCGAAAAATAGTAAAATGAAAAAAAAAATAACATATCCCAAATATCATTATTCCTCTAGAGGAGTACAATGAGAAACGCCTAGAGGTAATGCAGGACATAGAACTCAAAAGAGCAAGTATAAACATGATAAAAGAATTCAGTGAATTTAAAGAACACACAAAAAAAAAAAAAATTAAAGAACTGAAGGAAGATAGGGATAAACTTCTGAATGAATTCAGAAAAGAGTTAGAAATATTGAAGAA